AGAAGAAGGAGAAGAAGAAAGTGGGAGGAACCACTCACAGGTTCGTAAAGGCATCCTTGCACAGGTCCCGAGGGAGCCGCTCTGTGATGTCCGGCTGGAGAAAGCTGCCTGAAGACCCCCTCAGCACCTTGCCCAGGATCTCCACACACTCCAGGGAGTTCAGCACCTGGAAACACCTCTCCAGTGTGATGAGAAACAGGCTGCGGTTCATGCCAGGACTCTGCAAGGCTCGGTTTCGAATCTCTCCTAGGTTGACAATGATGTCTTTCAGGTCCTAAAGCAATGAGAGAAGCCAGGGTCACCTTGAGAGAGCTGGCTCTTGATTTGGAAGCCCTGGGAGGGACCACACATTGCAACATTGTGGGGAAATTCAGGATCGCTGTTTAACACCATGCTGCTATGTTGAAACTTCTAGAACTTTCCATCCCCTGCAGAACAAAGTCAAGGCCTTTACCTGCTCCACTCAGGAGCCTTCCCACTCTCCAGATACACCTGCCAATCACACCTCAGGCCCTTATCTACCTGGAATTCTGCATCTCCCCTTTTCTTGGTGAAATCTAGCACATCCTTTAAGGCTGGGATCCATTGCCGTCTCCTTGGCGAAGTCTTCTCTGATCCCTCCAACTTCCTACTTCAAATCAGATTTTCCTCCCTTATGTGCTCCCAGGGAATCTTGAGCCAAACTCTCTAATGCATTAAAGGGACTCAGGTGTCTTTCCTCCAAGCTGGTGGTTCTCACCTCTGGCTGCACATTGGAATCACCTGGGAAGCTTTTTTAAATTTTTATTTTATTTTTGAGACAGAGTCTCGCCCTGTCACCCAGGCTGCAGTGCAGTGGTATGATTTTCGCTCCCTGCAGCTTCAACTTCCTGGGCTTGAGTGATCCTCCCACCTCAGTCTCCTGAGTAGCTGGAACTACAGCCACATGCCACCACACTCAGCTATTTTTTGTAGAGATGGAGTTTTGCCATGTTGCCCAGGCTGGTCTCAAACTCCTGGGCTCAAGCAATCTGCCCACAACCTCCCAAAGTGCTAGGGTTACAGGTAAGAGCCACCATGCTTAGCCCACCTGGGGAGCTTTTAAAAAGGACTGATCGGCCTGGCACAGTGGTTCACATCTATAATCTCAGCACATCAGGAGGCCAAAGCAGGTGGATCACTTGAGCCCAGCAGTTTGAGACCAGCCTGGGCAACATAGGGAGACCCCATCCCTAAAAAATCATTATTTTTAATTAGTTGGGTGTGCTGGTACACATGTGTAGTCCTAGCTGCTTTGAGAGGCTGAGGTGTGAGCACCACTTGAGCTCAGGAGATCAAGGCTACAGTGAGCTATAATTACACCACCGCACTCCAGCCTGGATGACAGAGCAAGTCCCCATCTCTAAGACAAAAAAAAAAAGCCTCCATTTTACTGAGCATTGACTCTACTGTGCAAAGCTTGGAGCACACGTGCAGCATCTCATTAATTCTCATGGCAGTCCTACAGGTTAAGCCCCATGGGTCCTAGGGTCAGGCATTCCCAGGTGCAAATCCCAGGGCTATCTGTGTGTCCTGAACAAATAACATACTTTTTCAAGTCCCAGTGTTTTTTTTGTTTTGTTTTGTTTGTTTGTTTTTTGAGATAGAGTCTCGCTCTGTCCCCAGGCTGGAGTGCAGTGGCACAATCCTGGCTCACTGCAACCTCTGCCTCCCAGATTCAAGCGATTCTCCTGCCTCAGCCTCCCGAGTAACTGGAACTACAAGCAGGCGCCATCACACCCAGCTAATTTTTGTAGTTTTAGTAGAGACAGTGTTTCACTACGTTGGCCAGGGTGGTCTCAATCTCTTGACCTCATAATCTGCCTGCCTTGGCCTCCCAAAGTGCTGGGATTACAGGCATGAGCCACCACGCCCAGCCATTTCCCAGGCTTTTAAATCTGTTTTTAAGGTCTCAGAGTCCTTACTTTGTGATATTCTTGGATCATTAGCCTCATTTTGTGGAAATTATCTGTTTGTGTTTTTTGTCTCCCCTCCAGACTGTGAGCTCCTTGAGGGCAGGGATAGTCATCTCTGTGTCCACTGGTGCATAGCAATTATTTTTAGTGGATGTTTATTGAGCTAAACAATCAGGAGATCCTCAGATCCTCAATTAGGGTCCCTCACTTCTTAGTACTCACAAAAATACGAATTAGGCCAGGTGCGGCAGCTTACGCCTATAATCCCAGCACTTTGGGAGGCTAAGGCGGGTGGATCATGTGAAATCAGGTGTTCAAGACCAGCCTGGCCAACATGGTGAAACTCTGTCTATACTAAAAATACAAAAATTAGCCAGGCGTGGTGGTGCACACTTGTAATCCAAGCTACATGGGAGGCTGAGGCACAAGAATCACTTAAACCCAGGAGGCAAAGGTTGCAGAGAGCTGAGATTGTGCCACTGCACTCCAGCCTGGGCAACAGAGTGAGACCCTGTCTAAAAAAAAAAAAAAAAAAATTATAAAGCCCTTCATTTTAACTTTGGAGAAAGTAAGTGAGAAAACCTAGATCCTAAAGCTCCCAGGATGTTGGAGGAGGCAGAACGAGGGAGGAAGAGACAAAGAAGGACCAAGGCCTAAGTTAGGCTCAATTTGATTCAATCCAACAAACACCACGTGGTGCTGGACTTCCTCTACCCCCGGAATGCCAAGGATGCCTCACCAAGCGGTCTTTCTTGTCTTCTAAGAGGCATTTCATGGCAGTGCGGAACTGCTGGGCATCTGTCTTCCTCAGGTCCTCCAGCAGCTTCTGGGGCTGGTGCAGACGCTGCTCCAGGTGGTTTTCCACGGCTGCCTGGATTTGGGGTGTTGGGAGAGTCAGTGAGAACAGAAAGAGGAGCACATGGTCAGCACCATGGCCAGCGGCCCCAGCCGGCCACCTCATTCCTTGCAGAGACCACAACTGGTGGCCAGCAGTCTGGTTCGGCCAGCTCCAAATTTCCTCATTAGCTGCCAACATTTAAAAGTGAGGCAATTCCTCAAAAGATCAAGATTTCCAACTTCTCTTGAAAAATGCAAAGGTTTGGCAACACCAAGCACACATCCCCTTTTTGGTAATTGGCAAGCCAAGGGACAGCTGTTTGCTGAAGTAACTCTCAGGCCCAGCCTGCCTGATTCCCCCTTTCCATGGCCTGTGTGGTCCCTGAAGGTGATTGAGCTTCCCATCCATAGCAGTTGGACTTTGCCCAGGAAGTTCAGTACCCCCCAGATGGCACTGTGCCCAAACCCAAGCTACAAGCACAGGAGCAAAATATAGGTGAAATTGAACAAACTCTGTGGCATCCCCTACAGGGCAAGGAGCAGAAGCCATCAGCCTCTCCTGAAAGAGACTTCCTCTGCTGTCTGGGGAATTGTTCTCTAAACCTCCCTTAAACAGACATACCCAGTGTAATGTTATGGGCAAGAGGTGAACTCTAAACCCAGGCAACTCATGTGCAAATCCCTGCCTTGACACTTACAAGCTGTGTGGCTTGGGCAAGTTACTTAACTAGGGTTGCTAGGTAAAATACAGGATGTGCAGTTAAATTTGAATTTGAATTTAACTGAGCATCCTGGAAAAATGACACTTTTTTTTGTTTAGTATAAGTATGTCCCAAATGTTGCATGGGACATGCTTAACTTAAAAAATCCCTCCTTGTTTATCTGAAATTCAAGTGACACTGGGCATCTGTTTTTTGTTTTTGATTTCAAGACAGGGTCTTGCTCTGTTGCCCAGACTGAAGTGCGGTGGTATGATCATAGCTCACTGTTACCTCAAACTCCTGGGCTCAGACAATCCTCCTACCTCAGCCTCCCAAGTAGCTGGGACTACAGGCCATGCCACCATACTCAGCTAATTTTTTGTTTGTTTGTTTGTTTTTGTTTTTGTAAAGGCAGGGTCTTGCTATGTTGCCCGGGCCTGTCTCCAACTCCTGGTCTCAAGCAATCCTCCCACCTACGCCTCTCAAAGTGCTGGGATTATAGACATGAGCCACCATGCAGAGCTACATCGTATTTTTATTTGCTAAATCAGTGACACTTCTTCTGGGCCTCAGTTTTCCTATCTGCAAAATGGAAGCAATAGGAGGACTTACCATGTAGGGTTACTATGAGGATTGAGTGGGTAAAGTGTTTTCAGTAGTGGCTGGCACACAGTAAGTGCTCAATAGTGCCAGTTATTATTCCCTATCTTTACCAAGGTGAATAATGGCTTACTTAAAGTCTCATCCCTAAAATGAAAGGTCCATGACTATCTTGTTCGCTACTGAGTCCCCAGTGTCTGGAGCTATGCCTGGCAGAAAGCAGATGTTAACTCAGTAGATATTGAATGAATAAATGAACATGGTTATATACACAGAAAGAGAAGTATCTACTAATCAGGTTAAAGTAGATACATCTCATGAATATCCATTATGGCTAGAGAGAAAGGGGCAGGCATTGCGTCTCTTTCAGTTGCTCTGACTGATGAAAAGGAGAAGAAAAGCAGATGCCATGTGGGGCCAACAGCCGTCTCCAGCTAGTGAGTATCCTGGGACCTGGCAGACAACAAGCTCTCTGAATATACTTGTGACATGAATGTTGGTTGACATTTCCATTTTCATTAAAACGTAAGTAAAAATAAAAACAACGGCCAGGCACGGTGGCTCACGCCTGTAATCCCAGCACTTTGGGAGGCCGAGGCGGGCAGATCATGAGGTCAAGGGATCGAGACCAACCTGGCCAACATATTGAAACCCTGTCTCTACTAAAATATAAAAATTATCTGGGCATGGTGGCACACATCTCTAGTCCCAGCTACTCGGGAGGCTGAGGCAGGAGACTTGCTTGATCCCGGGAGGCGGAGGTTGCAGTAAGCTGAGATGGTACCACTGTACTCCAGCCTGGTGCCTGGCAACAAAACAAAACAAGACTCTGTCTCAAAAAAAAAAAAAAATGAAGAACTTTATTCATTAATTAATGACATAAATGACCTTTTGCTAAACTGAATAATTATTTCTCAATACTAAAGAAACTGTTATCCGATTTTCTGTGCTATCCAGTGTGATGGTAAAGACACGAAATGCCACACTAGGCTAACAGTCAGGAATGTGCTGTGTAGTTCAGCACAGTCACCACCATGCCCTATTGCCCCTTAAGGCAAATATCCTTTGCCACCTATCAACAAGCTTGTGCTGTTGTTTTCATTACAGCAGATTTAAAAGAGGAAAAAATACATTTCTTCCACCCATGGTAGAAAGACTAATCACTATATCCAAATATCCACTCTCTCACTGCTCTTCATCAATGGAACCCTTCAACTTTTAGTGGGGTACATGGCTCCTCTGCAGTAAGATGTGACTATGGAGTGTGGGCCAAACTAATGTGCACAGAAGGAATTGTGTAACTTGCAAGTCATAATCTCAGAAAAGAAGATGCTCATCCTTGTCTTCTTCCCACCCCTCCCCTGGATTTGAGAAGGGATGTGGTGTTTCCACCGTATGGGCAGTAACCCCCTAGGAGATGATAGAGCAAAAAGGTAAAAGGAACCTGGGTCCTTGGAAACCTCATGGAATAGAGCTGCCTTTTCTCTGTGGCTCTCCCACTTAGCTCTGACTATTACATGAGAAAGAAATAAACTAAATTATTTGAGCTGCTGTTATCTGGGGGTCTTTTTGTTACAGCAGCTCAGCCTATACCCTAATATACCATGTTTCCATCAAGGGTGGGAAAATGAAAGAAAGACAAAATAGCTTACGTCATGTTTCAAGAAAAACTGGAACCCTTTTCCTTGCAGAAGTAAAGACTTCTCTACATCCAGCCTACTTCTCCAACTTACCTGGCCCTTGCGTTTGCAATCCCTGAGCACTGACAAGGAAACATACAGATGGGTCTCAGGTACACACCTGTAGGCTGGGGATGGTGAAGGCAACATTCCGGGAATTCAGATAGGCCAGGACTCTGTGGGACAGATCATCCGTCCAGATGTGGGAGCTTCAGTTGAAGACAGATGGGAAAAGGTCACAATGACAGATTCTCCTACAAGCAGTACTGCACTAGCTAAGTACCCAACGGTCACGTGGGAATGGACCAGGGATGTTAGGAATTTTGTGCTTGGAAGTGGGAGGTTTCTCTCTCTCTCTCTCTCTCTTTTTTTACAGGGTCTTGCTCTGCGCAATCACAGCAGCCTCGATCTCCCCAGTCCAAGTGATCTTCCTACCTCAGCCACCCAAGCAGCTAGGACCACAGGTGCATGCCACCACACCCAACTAATTTTGTTTATTTTTTGTAGAGATGGGGTCTCACTATGTTGCCCAGGCTCAAACTCCTGGGCTTAAGCAGTCCTCCCAACTCTGCCTCCCAAAGTGCTGGGATTACAGGAGTGAGCCACCGCGCCCAGCCTGAAGTGAAAGATTTCTTAACCAGGCACAGTGATAGGGGAGTTTCCAATTTAAGGAACCTGCCTGGCTCCCATTCTCTCAAAGCCAATTCCCAAATCTCTAAGCTGTGTACAATATTCTTATTCCTATAACAATCTACTTAGATTGACTACAATCCAAACTAATGGAGTTAGAAAGATGTACATTTTAAAAGCAGATGTGAGGTATACCATGAGAGGCTGGAACAGCATAGTTAGGAGTATGGGCTCCAAACCTGGATTTGAATCCTAGTTCTATCACTTAGCTGTGTGGCCTGAGATAGTTTGCTAAATTTTCTTGTGCCTCAGTTTTCCTATGAAATATGGCTAACAACTGTGAGATTAAAATTTGTTCACACATGAAAATTGCTTAAAACAGTGCCCAACACACAGTAAATGTTCATGAACAGCCTTTTTCATTTTTCTTTTTATTTATTTATTTTTTTGAGACAAGAGTCTCGCGCTGTCACCCAGGCTCAAGTGCAGTGGTGTGATCTCAGCTCACTGCAACCTCCACCTCCCGGATTCAAGTGATTCTCCTGCCTCAGCCTCCCAAGTAACTGGGATTACAGGAATGCACCACCAAACCCGCTAATTTTTGTATTTCAGTACAGATGGGGTTTTGCCATGTAGGCCAGGCTGGTCTGAAACTCCTGGCCTCAAGTGATCCTCTCACTTTGGCCTCCCAAAGTGCTGGGATTACAGGTATGAGCCACTGATGAATAGCCTTTTGTAATCTTACTCCTATTATAAATAAAGTGATGGATGAATTGATAAGTTAATAAATAAATAAAATACTTAGACTGAAAGCATATTTCCAAAAGTATCCATTGGCATTATCTTAGGGAAAGGAGTGGTTATGGGGATCTTTCACTTTAACATAACTGAGTATCCCTGACACAGGGCCCCAAGACCCCTATTTCTTATCCATCATAGTACTCATTATATTAGAATTATTTATTAATATTGGCGTTTCCACACTACCTAGCTCCTTGCCCCATGTCCCTGGTATCTGACACACAGACCTGTATGCAGTTAATAGCACAACAGTGGAGGGAATGGGCCCTGGAGCCAGGCCACTGGCTCTTAGGCCCGGTGTGGTGGCTCACGTCTGTAATCCCAGCACTATGGGAGGCTGAGGCAGGCGGATCACCTGAGGTCAGAAGTTCGAGACCAGCCTGACCAACATGGTGAAACCCCATCTCTACCAAAAATACAAAAATTAGCCAATGGGCTAATTAGTGATGGCAGATGCCTGTAATCACAGCTACTCAGGAGGCTGAGGCAGGAAAATTGCCTGAATCCTGGAGGCGGAGGTTGCAGTGCGCCAAGGTTGTAGCTTCACCGCACTCCAGCCTGGGAAACAAGAGTGAAACTCCACCTCCAAAAAAAAAAAAAAAAAAAAAATTCAGCTCTTATGCTAGAGTGAAAAGGAATGAATGTCTGTGGAGCAAGGGTGTTGACTTTCAAAACACTGTGCATTGATTGACATTTTTTGTAATGAGCACATATTACTTTTTACAATTAAGAGGCTTTCATTAATAATTTTTATTAAAAATCTATCCCATCCTTTCCCCTCTCCTCTAGGGCAGGTTACCTTTGAAACTGTATGAGATCCAGCAGTGCTACAATGGGAATAAAATGAAAAGAGATCTTTAAAAGGAATCATTCCAGAGAGATCACAGCCGCATTCTGTTTGAAATTCGTAGAAGAAGCAAGTGGAGACCAAGGGGGCACATTACCATTCAGATAGCTTCCGTCTATTATTTCTTCCTAAAAGGCAAAAAGATAACATCAAGTATAACATCCAAAAGTTGGCAATTCCAGTAGAGGGGATTCTGATTAAAAGAAAATAGAACACTCACCGCCATTTTTTGCAACAACGGATGTAAATCTGTAAGAAAGCCATTGAATGTATAACTAGAATTGAACTGTATGACCTTCAAAACTACAACTATGGGTTAGTGGAAAAGCCCGAGAAAGCCACTCATGAAGGAAATTTTTAGTGAATTTTAATTATAACTGTCCACCAGGAGAAAACCATGGCTTAAAAAATGCTCTTAGAATAATCCTGAAAATCATACACACACACACACACACACACCCCAAAACAACTTACGGCATCATGTACCTAATTGATCTTTTCCACCACATTCCTTAAATGGTGTGGAAACCACAAAGGGTGATTCTTCCCTCAGGACTTACCCTGCCTGGAATTTGGAACTGTGTAACTCGACACTCCATGGCTCAGAAAAAGGAATAGGAAAAGGGAGTATGTCGTAGGTTCCTGAGACATTCTCCTGCAGTTAATTTAAGCATAGAAGTGATTCAGGTTTTTAAAATATATATATAAATATATATATGGACATTCAGAAGACAAAAGGAAAAACCAAGTAGACCTAGAATCCCTTGAAGTCTTTTTAAAAAATAATTTTAAAACTTACCTACTTTGCTTTATTTAAGCCCCAATTCTAGTCTAAGACATTATCATCTCTCTCCTTGGTGATTACAATGGCCTGTGCATCTTACCACTACCCCTGACTCCTCTCAATCCAACAAAAAGGCATGGTCAAAACTATACTTTGGGCCGAGCATGGTGGGTTACATCTGTAATCCCAGCACTTTGGGAGGCCAAGGCAGGTGGATCACTTCAGGTCAGGAGCTCGAGACCAGCCCGGCCAGCATAGTGAAACCCCATCTCTACTAAAAATACACAATTAACAGGGTGTGGTGGTTCATGTCTGTAGTCCCAGCTACTGAGGAGGCTGAGGTGGGAGAATTGCCTGAACCATGAGGTAGAGGCTACAGTGGGCCAAGATTTCGCCACTGCACTCCAGCCTAGGTGACAGAGCAAGACTCTGTCTAAAAAAAAAAAAGTGTAGACTCTATTATATCTGCCAGAAATTTATATCCAGAATATAAAAATAACTCTTATAATTCAATAAGAAGATATATACAAGCCAAGCAAAAAATGTGAAAAAGATATGAAATTAAACTTCATAAAAACAGATGTATAAATGGCCAATAAGCACACAAACAATTATCAAAACATTAGCTAACAAGAACTTACAACTTAAACCCACAACAAGACCACTACAAAGTCACTGGAATGGCTAAAAATTTAAAAGACTGACTATATCAAATGCTGGTGATGATATGGAACAATGGGAACTCTCACGCATTGTTAATACAGCTGCTTGGGAAAACTGTTTGACAGTGTCTTACAGAGTTAAATATACAATACCCTATGATCAAGAAATGTCACTCCTAGGTATTTAACCAAGAGAAATAAAAACATGTCTACACAAATATTTGTATAGCTTCATTCATAGTAGCCAGATATTGGAAACAATCACATATCCAAAAACAGGTAAAAAGTTAAACCTGGTATCTCCATTCAATGGGATACCATTCAGTAATAATAATAGAAAGAAATTAGTTATAATTTTCTTCCTGCTATAATTGAGTAATTGGCAATGGGAAACCTTCCTCCCTTAAACAATTAGAAAGCTGGCCAAAATATGTGGACACAAAGGTTTTTCAGACATTGGGCAGCAGGTAGCACAAGACTGAGATCCCTAACAAGGAAAGCAAACAAGCTGTGCTCTATAATTTCTCCTGCTCACACTGTCTGGAGTCTCCAGCCCATAGCCCAAGGAGGGAGAATCCAAACAGAGCTTAGAGGTCTCACTGAGCAGAAAAGACAGAGTGGAACTTCAGGGAGATCAAGGCAGCTAGAATCCATAGGAAGAATACTTGGAGAGGAGGAAGTTGCACAGAGAGAAAGTTCTGGAGATCTGAAGAGGGTCTTTTGAGTCTTTGGCTGAATATTAATCTACCTATGCTTGTAAGAAATCACCTCAGGCTGGAGAATGAACCACCAGTAGGCAGAACAACACTTGGACCTCACACCGGAATGAGAATAACTCCTACAAGCTGTAATGGAAAATTTTCCAAATACATTGGGCATCAGGGACAATCATCAAAGAACAATTTTCTCCATTGTTGAGAAATGCTGAGTGTATGATTGCTGAGAAATGCTGAGTGTATGATAAAATATATTGTTTGCTAAAAAGAACGATGGCAAGGAAAACCTAGCCACACCTCCCCCGACCCCCCCCCCCGCAAGTGGAAAACTCCTTGGGGCATTCTAAAGTGGCAAGACAGTATGTGTATATAACACATCAGTTACAACAGTTCTTTAAGCACGAAATACGTGACCCTGCCCCTGTGGCTCCCTTGTGGAGAATACTTTCTGGTTTGTCCTGATCAGTGGTAAGCAGGCACCAGCTGCCCACCTAGTTTATCTTGGTTCTGTGAGAAAACACAGGACATCTGCAGTTAATAATAATTACTTGTTCAGAGAGAACAACTACGTGGATCAGAGTCTGCTCGAGGCCCTCATCCCAGAATGCTGTCAGCTCCTTGAGGCTCTCAGCTCAGAAGCTTGTTGGCCCCCGAGATGGTCCTACTTTGCTGTCCTATCTGGGTCTCTGCTTCTTAATGACTTCAGTGCCACCTGGCCAACATGGCAAAACCTCATCTCTCCTAAAAATACAAAAATTAGGTGAACGTAGTGATGCATATCTGTAATCTGAGCTACTTGGGAGGCTAAGGCAGGAGAATTGCTTGCACCTGGGAGTCGGAGGGTGCAGTGAGCCGAAATTGCACCACAGCACTCCAGCCTGAGTGTCAGAGTGAGATTCCATCTAAAAAAAAAATTGACATATAATAATTGTACATATTTAAGGGGTACATAATGATGTTTTGATGTGTATAATGTATGGTGATCAGATCAGAGTAATTAACATGTCCACCACCTCAAACATTTCTCATTTCTTCCTGTTCAATATCCTCCTTGTAGTTATTTGAAACTATATGTTATTGTTAATTATTGTCATCCTACAGTGGTATGGAATACTATAAATTCAAAGAAATTGTGTGGCTGGGCATGGTGGCTCACACCTGTAATTCTAGCACTTTGGGAGGCTGAGGTGAGAGGATTGCTTGAGGCCAGGAGTTCGAGGCCAGCCTGGGAAACATAGCAAGTAACCATGTCTAAAAAAACTAAAAAATTAGCTGGGTGTGGTATTGCATGCAGGCAGTCTCAGCTTCTTGGGAAGCTGAGGCCAGAGGATCGCTTGAGCCCATGAGTTCAAGGCTGCAGTGAGCCATGGAGAACTGAGTCTCTCTCTGTCACCCAGGTTGGAGTGCAGTGGCTCGATCTTGGCTTACTGCAACCTCCGCCTCCCAGGAACAAGCAATTCTCCTACCTCAGCCTCCTGAGTAGCTCAGATTACAGGTATGCACCACTACGCTCACCTAAGTTTTGTATTTTTAGTAGAGATGAGGTTTTGCCATGTTGGCCAGGCTGGTCTCAAACTCCTGACCTCAGGTGATCCACCTGCTCTGGCCTTCCAAAGTGCTGGGATTACAGGTGTGAGGTGTCAATCTTTAAAATAAATAATAAATTTTTAAGCACCCAAAGGGAAAAAACACATATTATGTGCATAGGAAAAGAAATACACTACTGATATAGGCAACACCGATGAAACTCGGAAACATTATTCTGATGCTGAGCAAAAGAAGCCAGTCACAAAAGACCACATGAATCCATTTCTGTGAAACTCTAGGTTATGTAGAATAATCTTCAGTGTCAGAAAACAAATCAGGAATGGTCTGGGTCATTATTAGAGTGCAACAGGAAAAGTGTATTGCAACAGGGCACAAGGAAACTTCTTGGGGTGATGGAAAATTTTTTTTCTAGAGATGGGATCTCACTGTGTTGCCCAGACTGGTCTCAAACTCCTGGTTTCAAGCGATCCTCCCACTTCAGCTTCCCAAAGTGCTGGGATTACAGGTGGATCCCATTGCACTCAGTCCCCATTTTCTGTGTCTTGATTGTGGTGATTGTCACACAGATGCATCAGCTCTCACTGAACTGTCATTGTATTGCATGTAAATTTATACCTCACAGAAGTCAATATCAAACAGAAATGGAAAAGCATGGACTGTGGAGCCAGTCACCTGGTCTGAATCACTCTCCACCACCCACCACTTACTAGCTGTGAGATGTTGGACAAATTTCTTTTCTTTTTTTTTTTTTTTTTTGAGACAGAGTCTTGCTCTCTTGCCTAGGCTGGAGTGCAGTGGTACAATCTCAGCTCACTGCAACCTTTGCTTCCCAGGTTCAAGCAATTCTCCTGCCTCAGCCTCCTGAGTAGCTGGGATTACTCAGCTACAGGCTGATTCTCCTGCCTCAGCCTCCTGAGTAACTGGGATTACCACCACACCTGGCTAATTTTTGTATTTTTAGTAGAGACGAGGTTCCACCACGTTGGCCAGGCTGGTCTCAAACTCCTGACCTCAAGTGATCCACCCACTTTGGCCTCCCAAAGTGCTGAGATTACAGGCATGAGCCATTGTGCCGGGCCTTGGACAAGTTTCTTAATCTCTCTGTGCTCTAATTTTCTCATCTGTAAAATGAGATTAATGATGGTACCAGCATCATTGTTTTGTATGAGGGTAAAATGAGTTGTTAATAGTGAATTACTTTGAACAGGGCTTGACACAAAGGCAGCTCTGTATATGAATTTATTCAATAAGCAAATAAACCAGGTTGCTGTTTTCTAACAGATGCTGTTTTGAAAAACACCATCTTAATAAACTCATGTCACCCTCCTCCTCTACCCATTACCCTCAAGATAAAGCCAAAAGCTTTCTCAGTGCCTTTATCACCCACCTCTTTACCCCTCATTCCCCAAGTTTCCTGCTCGGGCCATCTGTCTGTCCCTCCAAAGTGCCATCCTCCCCAAATCAAGACCTTCTCACAGGCTGTTCCTCGGCCCAGAGGATTCTTCCTCTCCCTCTCTGCCCGGCTAAGATCAACTCATTGTAAATCTCAAGTCTTCAATGAAGCCTTCCCTGAATTCTCTGACCAGGCCAAGGCAATTAGCCAGAAGAAAAGGCCAATACTTCTCTTTTATAGCACCAAGCACAGCTATAATACATATTTATGTTTGTGTAATTATTTCATGCTTTCATTCTTCAAATATTTGTTGAATACCGCTGTGAGCCAGGCATTATTCTATGCTCTGAGAATACAGCAGTTTACAAAACTAACTCCCTGCTGGTGCATTGGAATGAGCCAGGCAGAAAATAAACAGATAATCAAATAAGTATTTTATGTCACGGAGTGGTGAGTGCTATGGAGAAAAATAAAACAAAGTAGGAAAAAGGAACCAATGAAGGAGCAGGTACTATTGTAGACAGTGTGGTCAGGGGAGACCTGAGGAGGTGACATTTAAGCAGAGACCTCAGGGAGTGAAGGAACAAATCATGGGAATATTGGGAGAAAGAAAGTTCCAGAAAGAAAAATACAATCACAGTG